TACCATATTGAAAAATATACTATTTTTGTATGATAATTATGGGTTTTGTATTTTATTTTAATAGAAGTTGATGTTGCTTTTGCAATTATCCATCAATTTTTTAAAATTAAACACTATCTACAGATTTGCATCGAAGCGTTTCTTATGATAGTGATTTTAATCACTGTCAGATTAAATCTATACTGGACCCAACTATGTAACGTCCCCACTATGCCGCGACCCCACTGTGCTACCGTTTTTTTTTATTAAGTCTAAATACGAATTAATTTCTTTTGCCTAATTACATAATAATTTTCACTTGGTATTTATTCAGGTATATATTACAAGGGTGTTCCGTGAAATTTATTCACAAAATGTTTATGATTTTAATGATTGTATTGAGTGAAGAAGACAAAATTTTCTTTTAAACTTATCCTAAATAAATAAAATCCTGTCCAAGAATGTGCTTTAATAGCATACAATTTTCAAAACATCGAATTAAATTTACAATTAAACCAAAAATTATTTTATTTGGTTTTAAGTATTTAAGTNCAAAAATTATTTTATTTGGTTTTAAATACTTAAATTAACTTTAACCTAATGTAGTAGTAATTTATATTTACACTCAAAATATTAACAAAACTTTACACTATAATTTTTAGCGCAGGTAGGTGCTGTTTCTAATGGTATACATACACTCCATCCGCGATCTATATCTACTTGATGTATTAAAGTGCTTGTAACTTGATAAATCATTATCCTAAAATAATCATTGACCAATCGAATTTTTTAAAAGAAAAGGGCTAAAAATGTCTATTTAAAAAAAAATTAAAGTACCGTTTTAGCTTCGATGCGAAGTTGAGAGGTATTTATTTTATTAAGATGTAATTTGTTTTAATTTTTTTTTTTTTTTTGTGACTATCACTACTTTTTCTTAGCTCTCACAGAATCAAGTTTATTCAACAATAAGTTAAAGATCACTTATTGTATCTAGTTAAAGAAAAAATACCATGAAAAATTGAAAATTTTTTCCTCATTTTTCGTAAATGGTGGAAATTCTCCAAAAAATATTATTTTTAATTGATAAATTTTGACATTATTTAAATCTATTTTTACTTAAAACTATTTAACTTGCTTATTGGGAATTAAAAGTCACTCCTTTTGCATAAAATATTAATCTTTAAACTTAACTTAACAAAAATATTTTTTTCAATTAATTTGTCTATATTTTAGGTCAAACGATATAGTTCCATTAAAAGGAGGGGGTAATTTCTCATTTAACCCCCTTTACAAAAAAAAAAAAATATATAAATAATTTAAATATTAGTTATAAATATTTTCAATTTTTAATGTACATCCAATATATATATTTCAAAGAAGGGGACTGCCCTTTCCAAAAAAATGTTCAATTTCAAAGGCTTACGATAAAGTAACAAAATTCAAAAATTATAAAGTGTTATAACGTTGTTCAATGCAAGGTGATTCTTTTAATATTAACTAATAGATTTCTCTTTAAAATAATAATTATGTTAAGAAAATAATTATTTTTTTTTAGTTATATATATTTCCTGAATTATGAATTATAATAATCTTTTTAATTTATCCCTTATACCTTATAAGGGTGTCAAGTTTTTTATTTTAAATGAAAAAATACATATTTAACTAGCTTATAACAAAAAGTGATCTAATAAAGAAAATGGCTGAACGATGACAACTTTTACCCATTATTTCAGAAATTATAACTATTTTAAAATATACAGTAGTGAAAAATGGATTATGTTATTTTTATCATTACGCATTACTCTGCCGCGATATTCTTCTATTCTATATTTAAAAATATTTGTAACTTTTAAGTATTATTAAAAAAAATTAACTTATTAATGAATCAAGAAATATGTATAATTAAAAAATATCAAAAATAATTTTCTTAGCATAATTATTATTTTAAGAGAAATCGAGTGGCTAATTTTAAAAGAATCACTTTGTATACAACAATATTATAACTTTTTATAATTTCCCCGTGAAAACTTTTTAAAGTTATAAACTTTGTAAGTTAGATCTAAATTATTCTTTATAAAGTGGTTTTGGTTACACCTCAAACATAAATAACATAATTAATCATAGCAAATTAATAACATATTATTAATTACTGGAATTATTATATGAAGTTTATTTAGTTATTATTTTAACAACTAAAAATCGGTTCAGCCTAATCAGTGAAAAATATTTGTGTAGTTTGAAATCAAAACTTACAAATAACTATTGAAAAATTTATTCATAAAACGTAAAAAATCTGAAAAAACAATTTACTAAACAACAAAAAAATGTTATATTGCTTTTAAAAAGCATTTAAAAGAAATATATTAAAAATTCATTGTTTATTCGTAAATTCACATTTCACCTTCTTTGTTTTCTTCCAAAAAATTCGTAATGGTCAATTATGACTTTGATTCTAATCTGATCATTTATTGGATCAAAAGTTATTAAATATCAGAACATCGTATATATATATATAAATGTCATGTATGTACAAATAGATAAACCATTTTACTCTTGAATTATTCACTTCATTGTGCAAAATTCAGATGTGGTCTCTAAAAACTGTATTGCAAATCATCAAGACCCTACTTTATATAAAAAGAGCTTTTGTGTAGAGTTCATTAATGTACGTTTTAAAGCGGTTAAAGCCTAAGGGGAGTTAAAAGTATTCGTAATGATGTGTTTATAGTTTTTGGTTTTATTTCAAATAAATGTTTTCTTCAATACTTTCTGCAAAGTACACATTATTATACAATGTTTTTCATGTTTGATATTATTTTTTTTATTCTGTAATGATAAAATATCACTTGGTATCATCGGATGGCCTACGGGCAGCGAGACCATTTTCAGATTATTCATATCAGAGTGTTCTTTTGAAAAAGTTTTACTTTCTTTTTAAACATCGTTGAAGCTTTTGATTCTTGAATGACATTCTTAACGACCTTATTTTAAAAAATGTTTAACTTTAAAGATAAAATTTTAATATGAAAACAGATGTACTTTTTTTTTTGAGCGAAGTTCAGGCTAATAGTAAACAAGTTGAATGAAGTTTACAATTTTTATTGTTATGGTGCTAATTCTTATTATGTATAATAATTAATGTGAAATATTATTATAAAGCATATTTAAATGTATAATAAAGTTTATAGAATATATTTCAATTGTTTAGTAGGGATTATTTAATTTTTATAATTTTGGATTAATACCTTTTAACAGAGATGAAAAAGTTTTTTTTTTGTCTACAAATTCATTTTATTTAGTATAACCATCAATTTTTATTTTTGTGGAATTATTTTTAAATATTGTTATTGATTCGACAGTACTCAAATCAAATAAAAATAAAATTATGAATTTTAATTAATTTTTGATCGATTTATGAGTTTTGGTATAATATTTTAATTTTGTCCCAGAACAAAAGGAAAATATTGTTCCAACAACTATAAATTAATTGAAAACTAATTAAAAATATTTTTTTTATAGGAATATTTCAAATCATTTGAGCAATCTGCATATAATAAATTTTTTTTTAATAATAAAAATTATTAGATTTATCAAAAAAATATATTTTTTGAAAAAATAACGTTTTAAATTTTGATTTAATAATAAAGAATGCGCCAACAGTTTAATATCAGAATGCTTATGTCTGTTTAATAACATTATTGCAATCTTATAATCATCGTTTTACTTATTAATTAAGTTACAAGATTCTCATAACTGTAGAATATAGTTAAAAATAAAAAAAAAACACCACACATTATATTTAATTTTATTATTTTCGGTTTTATTGAGTGTCCTTTTGACTATCAAAAGTGTCGTATTTCAACGATTCAAAAGAGGTTTAAACCTACTGGTCTTATTCTAAAAACTTGATATTTATATTTGCTATGTATTTTAAAACATCCAATCTCCGGGAAATGTTTGACTATAGTTCTGAAGTAGTAACATGCAATAAGTTTTTGTCTATTTGCCCTGGGGCTACATGGAATTAATATTGACAAATCATCCAAAACGGTCGTTTGCTATACGTCATCGACAGTTATTATATCTTCCATTTTATTTCTAATTTCTATCTCGTTTCATTCAATCACTTTTCTATTTGAAACGCCTAGCTAATAAATTTGTTTCACTATTTCCACCTTATTTACATAATCACTCAAACGACTTTCTCGTGACTAACTTGAATTTATGTTTATGTTTTTTGCAATGTTCAGTTTAAGCAGCGCAATGATTTAAAATTTCAACAGAAAAAAGTGGAGATTTTTCGATTTTCAAATCCCTCGACTATAATATCTAACATTCTTTTGTCGAATGCGACATAACTTTTCGAACGCCTTTGTCGGCTATGTCGTTAATTAAAACCCAACAGTATGGATGTTATTCCAAAGACAGAGCGCTTTCATTAAAACGCTCATTTATTCTGCGATCAACATTTAACGATGAACTCTTGTTATTAGTACACAATTATTGTACATATTTGTTTGTGTTCATTCAAGCTTAATGTTTTGTTTGTAACAATATTTTATGATGGGCTACTCGGTACTAAGCAAACAGTTATTTATATTAATGTAGACGAGAAATTCTAGTATGGTCAAACAAAATAAAATAAATCAATAGTTGGATATGCGAGTGAATCATAAGTAGGCTGTATATGCTCCGTTCAATAAATTAGGATAAATGCGATGAAAATCTACAACATAATAAATATCATTCACATGTCTTGTGGTAATGAAAAATTGATCCGAAAACGGTTATAAGTTATAAAATTCGAATTCTCATCGTACGTTTTTATGATATTAAAGGCTGCTAGATAAAGATTTTATCAATCGTAAATATCTAAAATTCATAGTGTCTTGTATAAAGATTTGATTAAGATTATTACAATTAGAAAAGCTTGTTACAATAAAATGACTTCGATAGTTTTACCGAGTATTTCAAGACTGTAAATTCTTGATAGGTGTTACTTACACAAACATGTTTTCGAAGTTTTCCTTTAGGAAATGGTTGCTATGCTTATAATATCATAAATGTTTAATGCAAACCAACAAACCAGACAAGTTTAGCTAAAAGCGCGCATAGAATATAGATTAACACGAATACATTTTCCGGCTCATTTAAGATTCGAAATTTGTACACATAACATTGATAAAGTACGATCATCTGTTGTATCTTAGAGCTAAAAATACATTAAATATGCGTTATAATATTTTATAAGGACTTTATAAGAAAACTGGTAATGTGCAGTTTCTTTCATGCATAACTATGTATAAAAGATTAAATTTAAGTAGATAGTTTTAACGTAATCAAATTACAGTCCGCGTATATAATTACTACTAATGCACTTTAATAGGATTAATTTTATACCAAATTCCAGATGAGGCAACTAAGACCAATAATAGTGTTAAATCATAAGCCATTTACGAAGTTGCAATGATAAAACATTTTTCACTCTTATTAAATTTCAAAATTAAAATCGATTAGGTTTTTTTTTTACGAATCGTTAGTAGTCGGCAGATTTATAAGATATAAATTTTAGATTGTATTATTATACTTGATACAGCGACTTTATAGTAGTATGAATTTACATTTTTGAATATTTTATTATTTTCTCTCGAAGAAAATCTAATTTATACAGCAAATAGTTGTTTTTCTCGATTATTTAACAGATCATAAAATTATATTTATTTATTATTTAAAAAAAAAACCTCTGTATTCTTATATCTGCATAATACATTGACAGTAAACGGATTTGAATGTTCGAAATTCACAAAATTCGATTTACCGTTGAAAATATGATTAAGTTATTTATAATACGATTATTATTATTATTATTATTTTTCGGTTGTAATTTTCATCAGAATATTAGCGCATATTTTCGTAATGCTAGTGAAATTTTTCATTTACGATATTTTCGTATATGAAAATAATGTGTTATTGTAGTCATGCAAATCGTTATGTAATTTTATATAAATATATTCTATGAATTTTCAAGTTAACCATTTTTATATCTCTTATACGAGTGTGTGCAAAATGTGTAACACAACTAAAAAGTTGAATAGCGAATTTTACTTGCCAACTGGCATTTACAGAATATAAAAAAAACGACGAAAATAATAAAAGCCCATTTTTATTTTCAGTGACAGCTATGAAATAAAAAATTTGCAAAGAGCTTTAGATAAATTGAAAAATAAAATGTATTCCGGATCTCGCAAAATATTTGAACAACAAGTATTATTAAATAGCTATTAATCACAGTCTGTATTTCCTTATCGAATTTAACGAGTCGAAAATGATCATTATAAAAAGCCAATCGACTTTTATTGATATATAATGCGTTTTATTATGTGACAATTATTATTTTACTCATATAATTATAGGTTACATAAAAAAAACTTGTTAACTGAGTGATATTTTGTGTATTATTTCACTGGCTTAATTTAACTGTAACATTTATTTTGATCTTGTTAAGTAAGGTTCAATATTTATTTACACAAATATTTCTTTTACAAATAATGTCTTCGTCTATGGTAAAACTATTTAAGTCAACTTTTTTTTTAAGAAATTTATGCTTTGTACTTANAAAAATGATCATTACAAAAAGCCAATCGACTTTTATTGATATATAATGCGTTTTATTATGTGACAATTATTATTTTACCCATATAATTATAGGTTGCATAAAAAAAAACTTGTTAACTGAGTGATATTTTGTGTATTATTTCACTGGCTTACTTTAACTGTAACATTTATTTTGATCTTGTTAAGTAAGGTTCAATATTTATTTACACAAAAATTTCTTTTACAAATAATGTCTTCGTCTATGGTAAAACTATTTAAGTCAACTTTTTTTTTAAGAAATTTATGCTTTGTACTTAAATATCAATTTTAAACATATTACCTTCAATGTAAAGTAAAAAAAGTAATAATTTCATTATGTTATGCATATATTTTTAGTTTTAGTTATTTAGGCGTTTATTGTCACTAACAATTATCTTATTATGGATCATTATTGATGGTCAATAAACCAAAAAAATTTCAATCATATCTAATAGAAAAAGTTACTCTCAACATTTTTTATAAGTCAAAATATTTCATTAAAATGTTAACTGTTGAAAACGGGAAATTTGTGAATTTTTCCGTTATTTAAAATGATTATAACTTTTTTTTAGAAAAATTGAATCAATAACATATTTTTATTAACAATATAATGGCAAATTATCATTCTATCGATGTACTTTTTTTTTAAATACCACCATTGACGATAATACTGCTGATTTTGAACATGTTAGTGATTTTTCTCACCTACTTTTCAATTGCCCTACTCTAAATAACAAGAGAGTCTCGTTGATTTTATTCCATTCCTAAAATATTCATAATACCTCACCTATTAATTTACTAAATTCAAGATCCTCCATTAGTATTATCTATCTTGTTCTTTATAAAATGATCTAGTTTCCTAATCTAATATTAAACATCCAATTTTCGAGCTATTAAAAATTTATTTTTAAATGTTTCAATAAAAATCTAAAAAAATAACCAAAATACTGTAGGTATTTGATTTTTGACAATGTTTCGGAAATTTTTGTCCTTAAAAACTATGTAGATGTTAAAATTATTAAAATATACTTTAAGATTAAAAAAATTAAAACATCTAGGTGACTTGTTTTCTCAGATTAATTAATTATAAAAATAAAAATTTATAACATATTTTAACTTTTTAATATTTTTTAAAGTCTTTCTTTATTTTAATTGTATCAGACGTTTTATGATAGTGANATTTTTTAAAGTCTTTCTTTATTTTAATTGTATCAGACGTTTTATGATAGTGAACATATAATTGACAGATTTTTATTTTTTATTAGACTTAATTATTCTAGTTTCTCATTATGGTGGTCCCAATTGTACTGTTTTTTTTAGAAATTATAGATACAATAGAAAATTATCACTTGTGGCTAAGTCACAAAAAAAAAAAAAAAACCACAAAAAATTACTGAAAAAAGTTTTCAGTAATTTTTTGTGGCTTTTGAGTTTAATATTTTTTAGTTTTTAAATTAATAATATTTTTAATGTAGTTTTAATTTTACTTAAATTATAGATATTTTACGAGGTATATATTTGTATTTATCAAATAAAAGCTTTTAAAAAAATAGAAGTTTCATATATTTTGAGATAGTTATGCATTCTAGGTATTCATTTCGTTATAATTTTAAATGAACACATTTTTTTCATATTCCCGTAGAATTTCGACTCGAAAAAACTTACTCTAGTTATATGCTTTAATTATTTTTGCTATCATCAACGTAATTTATTTTAGTTATTTTTTATAAGAAGTTATTTTTCTTCAAATATACTTTTTTTTGTACTATTTTTAGATAAACAATTTTTAAGTTATCTTTTATGAAATTATTTTGTTTTTGTACTGTGTATGTAAATATTTTTTTGGAAATATTTTAATGCTTCGTAATACATCATCTTACTTTAATTTCATTTGTAACCAATTAGACGAATGATTTGAAACGGGTAAAATGCCACATGGTAACTTTACATCTGAATGAGGCCAAGTCAATTGTTCTAAAGGACTTAAAGTACTCAATCCAGTATTGTCTCGTTGCTGATGATGTCTTAGTATATGAGCCATAGCTTTGGCATCTGAAATTAAAAAAATATACAATCTCCGATTATTTACTACGTTATTTAAAATAATAATGAAACATTAAAGATTTAATCATTAAAGCTCACGATAAATTCCTTTTAACAGGGATAATAAATTCTATAACGAAACTTCATAAATAATAAGTACATAGAAAATGTAAGTACAATTTATAACTCAACATAAACGCAGGATTAATTTAGTAATTTAATAATTTATTTTTCCCTTTCCTCTATTGTTATAATATATAGTAACCTTAAAGGTATTCCAATTCTATAAAATATCTTCAGACTCATGAAAACGAAAGTTTTTTTTGTTAATTTTGATTTTTATATATGATAAACAAGTGAGTAAATAATAAACTATAATTATGAGTACATAGAAATGTTATACATTTATTTATTCGTGTTTGTGAGGAATAAAATTCAAAATTTGAATACTTACTAACTAGTACAAAGTAAACAGACGGTAAATATTATCTATTATGTTTATATAGTATGAATATAATAAATGCTGTAATTTATTATACACATGGCATCGATTGAAATAGATAAAAAAATATAAACTTTACGTGATTTTTGTTATAATTAAGGTACAACACAACAAAGGTATTTATTTAATACAGTCAACGAGAATCAGTTAATTTAACCGTGAACTCTATTCTCTGAGGAGCTTAAAAATACGAGGTGTAATATTAGGCTTGCATATATTTTAGTATATGAATTTCATTCATTTTGCTCCTATGTTACGCAAACGCCTAGAAAGTACAAGCAATTGTTCAAACACAAGGGAATCTGTTATTATTTTACAAAGTTTCAAACCCTTAGTAATTATTCCAACAGAGAATATTAAATGTCGGGTATTAACGTAAAAATACTTAAAAAGCCACCGAATACTTCTGAAACTAATAATAAACCCATAAGACATTATACTTCCATGAGTATATAATGCACAATAACAAACTAAGTATTGTGATTGTTAGTTTTATTGTATTTATGCAATAAAAGTATAATTTGAAGCAAAATTAAATGTCACTGGAAAAATTTTAAATGTGTTTATACACTCTTCTTTAATTCGCTTATCGATATTTAATCTATCCAATTATATCACAAACAATTAAAAGTTTGAAAAACAGTCTTAAGAACATTCAACATCTAAATGATTATTGTAAAAAAATTATCTTCACTTGTTAAATGACTTTTTTAACGTAAATGGTAAGGAAAAACAATTGCCTAATACACAATATATGTCATATTTTTAATAAATGTATACTTTTATTTCTTCAAAATTAAAAATTGATGAAGAATAAAATATGTCTAATAGATTTCCTAACTCTAAAATATGAATATTATTAGATCAGTGGCACAACTAGAGCAAAAATCCTAGGGATGCTGAAATTGTGTAAACTCACAAAAACCGTTGGGGCTACACCCGCTCACAATCCACCAAAATAATATGCAGGGCTATATTAATGATGGTAGTTTATAGATAGCTGTATAACTGAGCTAACGATTGTGGTTGATCGGCAGTAGCTTAATATAGAAATGTCCCAGTATACTCACAATAACGATTTTATTTACCTATAATAATAGTTTGATATAAACGTAAAGTAAGATAAGAAAAAAATATATATAGCAAAATTCAGATAATTCATTTTTTATAAATAAAAATGTTCATTTAAAACTATAGTTGTTAAAATTTAGAGAAAGAGGCTGGGGGGCTAAAATCAAGTTTGAGAGTGCTGCATTACTCCCTAGTATCCCCAGTAGATGTGCCACTTTATTATATTTCAATTTATTACATTTATATTAACCTAAGGTATTTGAGTATAAAAAGAAAAGTACATACAAATTATAGTTTATACATAGATAAAAAAAAAGTACAGACTATGTTTTGATACTAATAACGACAATAAATATTCGAGGATTTAAAATTAAAAGAACTTGATAACTGAAATTGATATTTTAACTGATTATAAGTCCTATTATAACTTATTTTTAAATATTATTTAGTTTAAAAACTAAATACTTTTAATAATTAAGATTGCCTTTCAATTAGCATAGTGGTCGTTTTTTTAAATAAGCAAAATAACATTTTCATATTTTGGATATGAATTTTCGATGAAAAAAATAATTGGCTGATGTGGTAATTTAATCCTAAACCCTTAAATCAGAAATATTTATCAAGTATATAAATATACATATTGTTTCGAAATTATCTTGATTAAGGAAATCCACGAGCTTTTATTATCCCTTAGAATAGTTATTTTATGTAGTTTAATCAGTTTATCTCCGTGTTATTCTTTAAAACGAGCACAATAAGACACCGTTACATACTTTGCAATGTATAGAATACAACTTTGCTGACTAAAGTTTCATTACCTAAAACACTGGCAATGATTCCGTTATCTTTTTAATGCGAGCATATTTTATCCAATGATACATTATGATTACCAAATGAGCAAAATGAATGAAATACTGGATTTTATTTCGTCACATACATCCCCACAGCCCTTATCTGTTCGCCAAACGTTTCACAGTCCACTAACGCAGATTTGAAAATAATGAAGGTAAACGATTCTATGTGTTTTCATCTCTGTAGCACTGTATTTGCAAGGCACAACGCAAAAGTGTATACACATTGTTTACTTTAGACATTAACGATAATGGTGCAGACACATCACCACAACCAGATCACGGTACGATATTTATCGATGCGGGCCAAATGGTTTTTTTCTCCTATCGCGAAAAAGCTTTTATTTTATTTCCAAACGATATCCTCAGACAGAGTCTGGTATTGCGATTTGGTGGGTATTTATTGCACGCAAATCCGGTAGAATATATGAGAGCGTATACTCCATTCATAGAATCAATGAAAAAATCGCTTCAAAACCACCAACGGCGCAACTGTAGCAGCAACTCCGCACCTTGTAACTGACAAATATTTATATATATATATATATATATGTATTGGTGTTTTTTAACAAAGAGCGATTCCGCAGTAAAATGATGCGGTATATATTTAATTTGAAATTCGAAAGATGCAGCCGTAGTGTTCTCGATTGGCGGCGGGGGACAAATCAATTGAAATGATCAAAGGGATTACCGGTACAAAAAGAAAGAAAAAGCTCTGTGATTATCCGTCGACCTGTAATGTGACTGGCGGAGAAAAAATAACCGGCTTTACACGCGGGGAAGATTTGTAATACCTTCGATACATTGGCCGTTTTTTTAATGGCTGTGGAGGATTTCCAGACTCGGAGGAAATGTTCGAGTCATGCGTTACGATCATAAGTCATACAGCACAACGGACGTGAAATTATTCGTACGTAGTATTGACAATAATATGAACGCCACGCACATTCACAGATAACAGGGAGAGCCCTATCCGCGACGCTCTTTTTGCGATGGGCGGAATCCTCTCGGGGCTGTTTTATTGCCGGCACTTTATATTGTATATGTGTTACGGCTCTTAATCATCTGTCGATAGATAGGGAACCCCAGATTATTATGTGTTTTGAGCTGACGATACTGTATACTGAAGCCATTTAATGCTGACTTTCAGTTTTCCAACGACCGGAACGCCATGTTCGTGTCATAAATTTTGAGAATCCGACGTGGTCAATGGTTAACAACATTATGTAAACCGGAAAGAATAAAAAAAAAAAAAGTACATTGTGATAAATTCATCGAAAAGTAGCTCGTTGAATTGCGTATATAGCACAGGACAAGTTTGCGCTTCGTTTTTTGAAAACAATAAAAAAAAACAATTTCAAAAGACATAATATAATAACCAAAAATATAAAATGTTTAAAAGCGCATTGTAAATATTTAAAAATAGTTTATAAAATTTAACTTGCACGACACTTTAAAATATAACTGGTATAAAACTGATGCCTAATAAACAAGTTAGCACTTCTTGAAAGTCGGACAAAACTATCAATTATATGATTTTATTGAATAAATATTAATAAAAATGAAATAATTTGCGCGTTTTAAATTTTCATTTGAAATTTACAACATTTTATAGTTAAATGTTTAATTTCTGTTAAAGTAAACCAGGCTTAATATTTATTAGTTTTTTAAGTTAAAGAAATATTGCGACTCTATTCAAGCATAAATGCATTTTGTTTCCATTTATATTTTTGCCATTCGTAAGTTCCAAGTTAGAAGAATGATAAACTCACTAAACGCGAAATATAAAAATTATGATTTGTAACTTAGGGAAAATATGAAGTCAGTCGAAAGAACGCTACAGAGAATGAATAAATCGATTTTGACGGTTTGAAATAAAAAATAAAAAGTGTATTTGAGTAAAGCGATCTGTGTATCGTGTTCAAAAAGAAGCGAGTTGAGATTCGAGTTGATCGCTTAGAAAATAATTCAAAGCGTGGGATATAAGGTGTCATCAATTAAATATTTTCTTAAGTAATTATGGGGTGGAAATTATAATTTTTAATGCAATAAACTAAAGAGTACCGAAAACGTCAGTCACGCCGGGAAAATTAATAAAATGTTTACCAAACGGGTAGATATCAACTTTTTTCATTTTTATAAACAACAAAAGGAGGATGTTAAAGCTAGAAGGGAATTAAGTTAATGAGGCGTGTAATTAAACTTTTTGAAAAACTTGTTTGAGAAGATTATAAACTTTATACGACTAGAAAAACGTGATCATTTAAACTTGCCAGTTGAACAGACATCGTGCCAAGATACAAAATATAAATTACAAATAAACTATCGCTCACTCACGTACTTTTTCTAAAACTATTAAATGCTTTGCGAAATTTTAGAGAATTTTGTCAAATATTGTTAAACCTTTGATTGGACAAGATTATTTTCTTCGATAGTTCATAAGAACTATGATATTACGGCAAATACAAAATGTAGCAACTGTAGTTTTAAAAATAAACTTATTTAATTAAAAAAAAAAAAAAACAGGACATTCACATCTATGATTTATGTTCTACTACTAAAGGTAATAACTATAAGTAGAATACTTACTATCGATGAAAAACAGAAGAATTATAGAGCAAATTATATATTGCTTAATTATTGTACCAAAAACGTGTGCGTATAACCGAAGGGCGAAATTTGACTTCATGTTTGCACGTGTGTTTCATTGACTCATTTTCCAAACGAATTTCTCATCCTATAACATCAACAAATTTTAATTTTCTAATTCCAACGTAAAGAAATTTTAATATTAGCATTTTTAATTTGTTTTAAAAATAATAAACAAGCGTACAATTTTTTGGTACGATTTAACACCTTTTTTGGCTTTAGCGAATTGTCAAAGTAAATAAAGCAATCACAAGGAAAAGTAATGTAATGTCAGTATGTTGTTAATGTTAACGAAGGGTTCTCTACTCTGAAGTCTAATTAAAGTGGTCACGCGCAAAACTTTCCCCCTCGGCTTTAGTCGTATTCGGTATACGATGCTGGTGTTGATCTGCTAGATACCTAAAAATTACTTTTCACCCTCAAAATAAAAAGAACACGTATAATATCTATCATTATTAAAAAGGTTTTTTTCCGATTAAAAGATGAAATTCGTATACGAGTTCGTGTATGCACAAATAAAAATTAAAAATATTAAGTATTGATTTTAATCTAAATTAATATATAGAATTAACTGTAATAATGCTCCATAGAATACTCTATTGTGCTAACAAACAATATATGGTAATAAAACTGTATATTATTGTAATTATTTTTATAATAAAATGAATACATTTCATAATGAACTCTGAAATACAATAGAATAAGAAAATTTACTGTAATAAATTAATCGAATCATTATTAAATTTAATCGGTTTCAATATTGTTATGTTGAGTATTTATACTTTTACATAATCTTGTTAAAAAAGTTATACATTTTTATAAAGAAATGAAATATTTCTTATTTTTTAAAATAAATTCAGACATGTAATTTCTAGAAAAAGAATAAACAAGTATTTGTGGAATGTTGAATAATTTTCTATGATATTAAAAATATAAAACTTAAAAATGCTCTAGTGGTTAAATTACAATCGTTAAAAATAGATGACGTCATGAAAAAAAAAATATCAACCCTTTTGTTTTTTAACATGTATAACTGACTTTTACAAAATGTCTCTATGATATTCAGACACAAATGTCTACTACAAATCAAATAATATTTCTAACATGAACAAAGGTTAACTTTTTATTTAGGAAAATTTGACCCTTTCAAGAACATTATATTTAAATTTTGTTACTGAAATGAAATTTGAATAATCCTCTGTAAACTTTCTTCTAAAAGTAATTTATTTTAGAGCTGGATACTTAAAAATACAAATTCAAGCTTAAGGTTATTAAGTGTATGAAATAGTAGGTTTGCATATTTAATTGACATTTTAAATGCATGTTTATATCCGTGTTCGTGCTACAACTCTAATCAAATTTAATGTGAAGTACTTTTTTGTTATAATTATAACTTTACACATTTTAAATAATTATAAATTATATTAAATATAATATTATAACTGATAAAATTTTATTTAATATTATCAGGTAAAACTCAAATATTTTCATATGGCAATATATGAATTGAAAAGTTTTTATTGTTAAATTTACAAATTTTTATATTATGAAAAATTTTAAAAACTAAAGCAATTTTTTTTTAAACAAGTATATAATAATACATAACTTTTTTTACTATTACAAGATATTTATTTGTTTTATAATTTCTTTTTTTATATAATTGTTTATCTTTGTCTTTCTTTACAATTTGTTTCAATAAAATGCTTGCTAAATATTTGTACTTACAAAAAAAAAAAAAAAAGAGTAAATTTGAAATGGCACCTATAAAGCATCAACATATACTGACCTGAAACGACAATTTAAGATGGTCTTGTAAATATTTAAAAACATAAAAAAGAGAAAAATCCATTTATTTTATCTGATAGTCGGAATAATTAACTATGTATCTTGTAACGTAGAACAGCACAATGATTATATACTATGTAATTTTTTAAGTATTTAATGAGTGGAGAATCTAGACGAAATTAATATCTTCATAGGTGAACTTATTTTTAATAATGTGGATTAAAATAATAATAATTGACTTATATATTGTTTTATTAGCAATATACAGTATTTGGATAGAAAAAATCGAATAAATCACATTTTCTACTATTAATCATTTCTATGAAATATTTGTTTGATTTTTGTTTCTCAAATTAAATGTATAAATATTTAACTATTCACTATTTGCTATCATTAGGACTCTTTGAAGTAGCCAACGACAATTATAACAAACTATTAAATAAATAATAATTCCTATAACACTTAATAGGACACTTTCAGAATATGGAAAAAAAGAACTGACTGAATAATTAGGCAAACAGTAAAATAATATATTATTTGAGATATATTCAATATCGTATTTGGATCCACGTTGGCAATATATTTTTATAGCAAAATACTTTTACTCATATAAGCTTTTAAAAACATATTTTTGTCCTATAAATTAAGTTATAATAATTTAATATAAAATTAAGTTCAAGAAATCCAGTAAATTGATCATATTAAGAATAAAAAATAATTTTCCCGAACAATTGAAAATTTATGTCAAACTTGACAAAGTAACATTTTATGAAAAAAAAAACGAGAATACGAAAAATGTAATGCATTAAGAATGGTTATTTTTACCCTTGTAGTGACATTGGATAATGTATTCGGTAAAACAACTTTTAAAACATTCGTATTCCCGCAGCGATTTTTGGGTTTTTTTCATGGATTGTTTATTTGATAAAGTTATACAAATGTAATAACAATAGTTTAATAAAACATCAGTTGATAAAGCCATTTTTCCAGGTAGTTGGTAAGCCGCTAACAGTAAGACCCTCTGTAACTGATATTATAAGGGAGATCTCGATTTGGTCAGCAAAGGATGGCATGACCCGTTAATCTTCTAAATGAAATGAGTGTGTACCCAAATTATTAATATTGTATACAGATTAATGCAATGTATTTTAGTGTTATCGTGAGTATAATCCCAATGCATAATAATCTTATTCGCCACAACTATAACGTTTATAATATTGTAATAGAAGAGAGAAACATGAGTATCAATATATACGTATGAGGTTTAGAAATTATTGTTGTATACAAAACAACGCGAATAAATATTTTTTAATCAAATATTTGCTAATATCACAATATGCTTTTTTAGTGTATACAAAGAAATTAAGATATATAGAATTGAATCATTGTAAAATTAATAGTTTGTTAATAAAAATTAATAGAATTTTTTGCACTAGAAGACAAAAATAAAAACGTTAAGTTACGTCTAAAACTGTATTTTAGCACCTTTATAGGAAGAATAACAAAATAAAAATATATTCTTTCGTTTATCTTTTCTCTTAATGTCTCCCTAGTGGCTTGTTTTTTCTTATAAACAGCGAGAACAAACCATAACCAATGTACAAAAAATTATTGGTTACATGTGATGTTCGCATGTATTTGTTTTAAACTTTTATATTTTAGAACAAGGTTATTAAGTAGAGAAATATTTCAACTATTAAAGATATATTTTTTTACTTTATGGATAAAAAACCTTTTGATTTCGACAATGTCAAAAAGTATACTGGTTGTTTTTTTGTTCGTTTAAATAAATCTTTACATGAATTTTCAATATAAATATTAGGAATATAACTAAGAGAATTCTACGTAGATTTTTATTAAATCTTTTAGGGTATTTTGGTTAATTAGTAGAAAAATTACATCTTTATAAGATTCCAAGAGTAATATAGAATGTATATGTAGCACTCAAACTAGAAGTATATTAACTTATGAAGAGAAATATAATCATTAAAATTGACAAATTACCAAAAAGAAAAATTACTTTCCAAGTAAGAATTTAAATATTTAAAATAATCGCACAATAAGATTATATTAAATTTGCCTGTTTTAATAAATAAATTCTTACCTAAATCAACAATGTTGATTCATACATTTAAAATTCATTTCAAAATACTGTGTAAATTTTTTATAGAAAAAGTATTATTTCTTTAACAAATGTTTTCTTATTTTTATATCTACATTATATCATACATTTTTTTAAATTATGAAGTAAATTAAATAATAATTAATATGAGATGAATTTAAGTCAGCTTTTTAGAGCTAAGAATATGTTACACTGGCTAAAGACTAGGATGTTTTTTATTGAGGAGTTGTATTTTCTCTTTTGATGTTTCATACAACAAATAAGATGATAATTAATATTATTAATGAAAAGGGATCGCTAAATTAATTTAGCCTACAGGTAGCAAGGTGCTAAATACACTATTGCAAACGCGATAAATGTATATAGGGGCAATTTAATATTTTAATGAAAATACCAAGTATAAAAGTTGAAAATGTATTTAATTAATTTTTTAATAAAAATATTATCGATTAGCACTGCAATTCTCTTTTAAGTATGCTTAAGTATAGGTAAAATTTGCCATAAATATTAAAAAAAATTATTTTTATAAAAAAAAAATAGTAGTTTTGATAAAGTTACTAACTGATTCATTATGACCATAGTAAATTTTGTTTCTAAGTAAATAATGTATTTCGTACGAATCGTTTTTAAAATTCAAATATTTTTAAATATTTGAAATCTAAAGGATATTTAAATGAAATAGTTACAATTGTGTATTCATTGAGTATAAATAATTTTAAAAGCTCATCGGTTTATAAATGGATTGAAAAATATTGCAATGCAAAAATTGTTATCAATTTAATCAAATATCGTTTTTAAATTCTAATTTTTACTTTTACTACCACACTATAACTTTTTTCTCAGTAAGCGCAACTTTTATTTTTCAATCAATATAATATTGAAATACATATTTTATTCGTTTCGCGAAAATTTAAAAGTCAGATTCCAAACATATTTATCTATCTGCGTTCAGATGTTTTTTAGTTGTACGCACCGCCGCTCCCTTTTAAAATTATCAACGGATACATATATAACGATAATTCTGTAAAATGTAAAATTCGTTCAACCGACTGGTAACGTGCGTACTACGTCAATAACGAAATCAAGAAATGTATAGGCTTCAGAGAATATAATTTATAAGCGGAAAGTGTACGCGAATCCTGTAATTAGATAAAACATGTTGAAATCTCAACCTAAAAATAAATGCTATAAATATAGGCGGAATTTGGATTGCGTCATCCCTAAAGACAACTCAAGTCCTTGCACACACATGCCTATTAAATCTACGCTTTGATAAATTCTTCAGAAAATTAAAGGACATCTGTTCGACGATATAACTGCTACCATTGAGGTGCCTTTTTGAAGTAAACATTTTCTCGTTGTCAGCATCCGATCCGCATTGTTCTTATTATTAAGATTCGACGCGTCAAATGAGGCGCGTTTTATTACATTTCAAAGAAACGAGAGGAGCTGCTAGACAATTTCGTACAAGTTTCCTTTGAAATAACTTATCTCAGCCCTGTCATTACTAAGCTCACTAAACAAATACTTCGCGAAAACAATTAACAACACAGTCTCTACTAAACCATTTTATAAAAAAAAAAGACTATTTTTATTTTTAGTGGAATACACAATGGAAATACTTATTAATCAGGTACACTGTAGTTCAATAGTATTCACAATGAACAGATATCTATATATACTATTTTATGAACTCAACAATTTTCATTGTTTTTCACAATTTTCATTGAATTTGTTTACTTTGATAGTTATATAAAATTATCGCGAAGAGTATACATAAATACTTCAAAAACAGGATTTTTATAGTTTGTGATCAAATTGATTTTTGTGTTAAAAAACGTTAACCTTATATAAACATTTTTAATAAAAATGTTTTACGCCAAAAATAAGAGTGGAATTGATCAAGGAGTACGTGTACTGATTTTCAGTTTTCTATACCTACTTCTGAGTACTAAGTACAACGATTTTTCGTAAAATTGATCAATTAAGAAAAAAGGAGATTTCAACGTAACGTTATGACAAAATATCTACTTTTATTGTGGTTGACATAATAATACTTAACCGAACGCTCAAATATATTGTCATAACTCTGTCAAAACACATCAGACTTGATAAAATTTAATATATTTTACTAAGTTTATTTTATTTTATGGCTTAATATTAGATTTATCCTTAAATTTATTTTTAAAAACTTTAAAAGCACTTAAAAATAAAATAACTTTGGCTTAATCCTTTCAATTACAATACACAATGAAAAATATATTTATCCTATGAAAATTAAATAATTATATTTTGTAGATTTGTTCGATTTCGTTCATGATAATTAAATTTAAACAACAAATATTCATTAACATTAAAATATATAAAACGGATAATGTAATGTTGTAATGCTTAACATCAACATAAAATTTCAGTGCCTTATTTTATACTTATGTGTGTGCTATAGATTAAAAGTATCCCCAATCCTAAGCCATTATACGCGATTTCTTAGATTATGATTAGAATTAAATAAATGGAATTGGGTTATTTGCAGGGTTGTTAAAAAAAATGTTATTTTTTTTTTTAAATCTGTTTAAAAAATAAATAAACAATTTAAAACGACCCACTTATAACAATACAATGTTTTAAACAAGCAGAGTTTAAAACGTAAGAACTCTGGTTACTTGTTGTACTATTGCGGTCAGTTGTATTACTATTAAATAATGGAATAAGTTACTTCATAGTTTTTTGCCTCGGTATTAGTAATTTTCTCCATAAATTATGGTTATATGGCTAAGATGGGTCAAATATAGACTTTTGTGCTATTTAATATAATTGAATAGTTCAAGTATAGGACAAAACCAAGTTTTATTTGTTTAATATATAAATATAAGAAAAAAATGTGTAAAAAAGTTTATACTCTAACTATTTTTTATTCATTTTGTCAATAACTGATAAACGAAATAGTTATTATAAACTGTTTTATTTATATTTCCATATAAAAGTATAAAATATGTGTATTATTTTTATCTATAATATTTGACAAGTAAATTCGAAAAACTTTTTTAACTTTTTGATTTTCTTTGAATCGAAAAATAATTTTATTGGTTTTAACAATAGATTTTCTAAAATATTTCATATTTATTGCTTGGAAACGATTACAAAAGTACTTTATTTTCATGGACGAGTAGGTAAATTTAATGTGCATAGATTTATGGGAAAACTTATAAATTCTGACAACTTAAGTTTTGTGCTTAAATAATTATCACATCTTAGGTTTGTCTGAATTTAAAGCTAAAATTAAACATCACAACCCTATAAACGTTTACTGTATGTCTTGATGTAACATTAAAATCGAGAAAAAAAAACAAAACCCTTGTAACTAGTTGAAGTTTTTACAGAATTCATGTTCGAACTTTTTTTATAAATTATTTGTACATGCTCCACAGTTGTAAATGGTTAATGAAGCATACTGTAGTATAAATATAGGAAGAAAACTCGAGAGACAAATCAAAATAACTGAGTACCAGAAATGAATATACATACTAGCTAACAGAATTTATTGAATACATTAAAAGCAGGAACTTTTTATAATTAGAATCTCTATGCGTTTAAGTAAAAAGAAGCATTCTCGTTAAGTTAATTTATAACATTATTGTTTAGAACTTCACAGGCTTGTATTTTTGCTTAAATTATTCTAAGCTATGTAAATAGTGGCTACAACAATTTTTAACAAGTATACGGACGCATTAGAAGTCTTTTATGGCTTTATTTAAATGGTGCAACTGTCACTGGTTTTAACTTTAGATGATACATTGTACACGTTTTCTCCTAATACAAACAGTTAGGCCTACGCGTTTATAAGAAACTATGCGACGAGTTGTTGTGCGTCAAGATACGAATCTAGTTAAACGACTGTACTTAGAGAACGATGGAACAATGCCTACATGATACTTATGGTAATACATGTTTATTCAAGATTGAACTTGGGTATAGTCCATGGGCTGATAACAATCGCTGGNTAGAGAACGATGGAAGAATGCCTACATGATACTTATGGTAATACATGTTTATTCAAGATTGAACTTGGGTATAGTCCATGGGCTGATAACAATCGCTGGTGAATTTAACAAGCCAATAATTTTTACAGTTTATAATATCATGTGTAGGAATAAATTATATCTTAAAACACTACTATAAATTAGCGGTCGGATGTTTAACACCATGTCATAGCGTTTCTTTGGTACGCACGCGATTTCAAACAATTGTAATTGTATTATTTTTTAAAATAACTTTTATACTTATGACGGTTACCAACCCCAAAAATGTATAAAGTACAATGAATTGATCACCATACATCAATGAAGCAATTTTTATAGGTTTTAAAAAACTATTCACTTGAAGTAAAACAAGGGAGAATGATTGTAACGCCACAGTAGCCTCTTACTCGACCACTTGACATGACACGTGCCCGCTGAGGGAGAACATAAATTATAATACAAGGAAAATTAATGACCACCACGATTTATATCATAATTTAACAATAGTTAACGCTCAGTGATTTATTCAATAAATTCTGTTTGTTATATTTACCTCTAAGTAATTCTAAAACGACCTGTGTGGTTGGGTTTAGATACCTAACTTATGATGTAAACCGCATAAATACCGAAATTAGAGAACAAAGGTCGTTTTTCCTTTTAGATCTCAAAACATTTTCGCTTGGAAAGCAAGTAGGGGTATAAAATTATATAACAAGTTTTTGTGTTCTCTGTAATACAGATGTACGAATTCGAAATTCTCAATGAGAATTTCTCATTATATATTTACATTATACAGAACTTTAGGCGCACTGAACAGAGTAAACAATATTTATTTTTACATTTAATTATTATTTCCGTGTAATAATATAAAACATTTATGCCATGTGACGTAATTTGACTGATTAAAAGAAAAAGATAAAATAATTTTTTTTGAAATTTTCGTCTGTAAATAGTTTATGCATACGCGTTTGTGAAAATTACGGAGAGCGTAGAAATTGTTAACAATTAATGAGATGTTAATAAATCATTTTGTTCGCTACCTACTGTATGATTAATACTATTTTTATGTATAGAAATAGTGTAATTTTTTAATATCTATCAGTATAACCATAATCACGTTTTATGTGCAAGCGCTACATAAAAAATACATAGAATACGTGATCGTTTCGGCATTTTGGTTAATCTGAGATTAATGGCGTGCGAGGAAGCAGGTGCTGGTGTTTTTTGCATATTATCGTAATAGCAATTTATAATAAATCCGTTAAAACAAAAAATGATTAAATAATAGTTCGTTTATGAGTATGAAAAAACTACAGGCAAAAGTATCTGCTGCGTTATTAATAAATTCAAATTGAATAATAAAGCGATTGTGTGAATCCTAAAGAAACTGTGACATCAATCAAAGTAAATCAAATTAAATACACGCGGCTTTGTAAAAGCAATTGTCTAGGAGACACCGAGAAGCGTCGCTTTCTCTATTGATTATTTTGGACTTAATATTACTGGTCTAGTTCGTTTTGACTTTTGTTGGCAACAATACTCGGAAATACTTATTTCTATTCAACAAATGTATACAAAATATTAGACGATTCCGTGGAGAATTTAGCCGAGTTGATGGCCTATTATCAATTAGGGACTAATGAAATGTGTTTGGAATCGTTAAACTTTATCAAACCAAACCTTCGCGGTAGAGGTTTTGTTGATACATTTAATATTCATCGCCGTTACAATTATCCTATTAAATTACTCAATTGAATTACCTCCGTCTTTGCAAAAACTGCAAAAATGTACGCATCAAGTAATGTTATCATCATAGTTTTTGACCAAGTCAGCGATAAGATTTCACATATTTGCAGGTGTTCTATGAGCCGAAATCGTAATTTCGACAAATATCATGTGATCGCCTTGAAGTTTTTACGGTATCGTATTTTACAGACGGATTAAAAAGCGTTGCGGACCATAAGCGATTTTCAACATCACTACTAATGCGGCACTGTACAACAACATAACGGAATTGTTTAAAATATTAATGTAAAAATACCATTACCGGAAGGATGACGCGTGCAATGTTGATTTTCGAACATTTAATTTGCGTTTTTGACGGCAAGAAGAAGCGACAGAGAGGAGAAGATGGAAAGATAGAATATTTGAGTTTGTTTACGCCGAACGAGAGCTGCGCATCACAGCCTTTGCACGGCACGGTCAGTACTGGTGGAAGCGTATAAAGACAGTTTAGTAGTACCCTGCGGTATCGCTTGGTGTGTATAGCCGCGTGCGACTGACAGTTTCCTTTTTTTTTTTTTTTTAACGCCCTTCGCACACTCTCGCCATCGTATCCATAGCAACCCCCTTCCACGTCCCTGCAACGATGATGATTGTCAAACAGCCGCCAATGGTCTAGACGTACGAGAAAATTTTAAATTGTTCGCACAAATGTTTCGTTTTTTCTCGTCCAATATTTCACGTCAATTAGTAGAGAAATTCTGGTGGGAACAAATTATTAATTAAAAAATCATAATAAACAACGAGAACCGATCTACCCCACATTTTGTAGCCTTAATAATTGTCGTTAAAAAAAAACATCTGTATCTAAGTCGCTACACGGTTGAGAGCTGGATGTGTGCATACCGTCTACACAACGACATAAACTCATGCAGATCATCAGTGAATTCAAAAAAAAATCTTATTCTGAACTCTATATTTACATGTTATTCATTAAATATACACGTACAGAGTGATTTTTTTAATGCTAGACACTCAATTCCTATTGAAATAACAATATTTTTGTACCTTTTTTTTGGCATTGAGTTAGTTGCATGTGTATCTCCATTAATCTGTTATGAAATATTTTTTATATTCATCCAGTATGTCATACAGGGGTGTCAATTATATTTTTCTAAATGGCAACACACATATTTAAAAAGTTTCCAAAATAGAAAATGATACAATTAAGAAAATGACTGGTCGATACACAAATTTTGGAACAGTATTTCGGAAGTGAGGTGCGGGTGCTGCTATTTTTATTACTTTACATTTCTCGGTTTCACTATTCCTCTCACCTAAGGTGTAAAAACCTACTTTTTAACTTTTGAAATAACGGTCCAAAAGTTGTTATCCACCAGTCATTTTTTTAATTGTATCATTTTCTATTTTATAAACTAGTTCAATATGTACGTTACTATTTGAAAAAATAAAGTTGACAATCTTATAAGGTGTAAGTAATGAATGCAAAAAAAATTTTATAACAGATATATGTAAATACATATTTAACTAACAAAAGTAATGAAAAAAAAAAATCATTATTTTAAGAGAAATTGAGTGGCTAGTATTGAAAGAATTACCCTGTCCTTTATATATACATATTTAGGTACCACTTACTTTATAAATTTTCAAAATCTTCCAAGAGTTGTCAATTTGTTTATTTTTACTAGAAAAAAAATTATCACTGCATAATTTAAAACCAAAATTATAATATTAACATTTGTCGTTTTAAGCAGACATTTTTAATTTTATATTTTTTTGGAAAATCAATTGTTACTGTCAAAAAACCTAAAATAATAAAATTAAGTTTAAAAATTTACTTTATGCTCAAATTTAACAACATTTTCACACTATGTTTGTAGTAACTCAATTAGCAGCAATTGTATTCTTTTGAAAATTTTTAATTTGAAACTTATGTCCTATTACTTTACTGCATAGCTTATTAAAATAACTGATCACATTATCCGTGATAATGGTATATGATGAAATATTTACTAATTATTACATCATATAGATATACTGTAAGAAATAATAAAAAAATTATCATATATCTGTATCACGTTACTTACGGACAACTTTGATAAGTATAATATTTTTAATATACACGATAACTTTACACAAGTAGTGTAATTTTGACATAAATTAATGAACATTTGTACACAAATATGAAATTTTTATTACTATTTATCAAAATATTCCACAACATTGTATGTATTAAAACTTACAGTACAAGTATGTAAAAATTACGACTTTATTTTTAAGAGTGTATTTAATTGTATTTAGGTATTATCAGCTAAATTTTACAATTGAAGTTGTTTTCGGAGAGCTTTTCTATGTCACGAAGACATTTTTTTGAGCATGTTAATATATTTATATTAGTGTAGTAAAATTTCCGGAAATTGATTTCTAGCGTAATTTCTTAAAAATTTCGGAAAAGTTTGAAATTTTTATTTAAGACCTTTAAGTTTAATTTTAAATAATTTTAAATAATTGTGAATAACTTTCAAACATATATCATTAAAAATTTCATTAGTTTATGATTTGTATGTATTTCAAAATGATAGTAACTTTCGAATTACTAGTCCAAAAGTTGGATCAGGCAATTTTATTTGCTTATTTAATTAAATTTGATAATTTTCTATTTTGCAGACTAGTTAAATATGTTTGTTGCCATGAAAATACATTAAGTTGACACCTTTATAAGATATCAGGGATGAACCAAAAAAATTATTAAAACTAAAAAAACATTTGTGATACTACTTTTATTTTTAATTTGTAATTGAGTGGGTTGGGATAAACGAATGACCTTAGCAATGTAATACATATTTCAAAGATTTTTATGATAAAATGCATATAATTTTAAACCCTTGTCAAATTACCACAAAAACAATTTTATACATTTATTTTATTAAATTTCCATCTTTGATAGAAATTTTGATGATTGAAGACATTTTTAACTTGAAACACTATTTTAATTTCTGTGATGTACGGCTAGAATTTTGTACTAAATAAGCTATGCGGTAATAAGAAAAAAACGCAAATTATACAAATGTCTTATTCTTCTTATTATATTTGAAACAATTTATTTAACAATAATTATATTTTAAACATTAAGGCCTTCATAAAAGATCAAAAACTAATAAAGTTGTATAGCTTAACTTTACTTACATACAAGTATTATTATAACTTAATGCAATTTAAAAATATTAAATCATTTCATTTTTTTATTTAATAATAATACTGTCAAATTTCTGAATAATTTAAGTTTCAAAAAGATTTTACTCGTTATTTGAATTATGTTGTACTACACAATAAAATAAATTCAAAATTTATAGTAGCCTTCTGCTGTGTGAATAATAACCCTTTTTAATTCAAATGCATTTATTGTTAACATTTTTTTATAGTAATCTAAAAGGACAAAAGTTTAACCGAAAGAAATGTTGGTATATATATATATTTATTATACTTAAGTTATATCCTGTACTCATTTGAACAAAAACTCTTGACTTTATATAGTGTTTTTGTATAGTACTCTAATTTTTAAGACCACAATAAAATCTGTCAGTAAAAGTACAGCACACCTACTTTTTGAATGTCAAAAGTTAAAAGCTCTTATGTAAATGTCTGATTTTATGTGTTTATTTTCAGTTTGTTTAAATGACAACAAAAAGTTTTCTAACATCAAAAACTGAGGTTTAATTAATTTTTACGTAACATTAATTTAACTAAATTTTCACACTGAAATATATTTTAGTGTGAAAAGTAAATTTATACTTAATAACAGATATCAGTTTGGTGTATAACTATTGTAAAGTATAAAAAGTAAGAGTAAGTTATTACATGAAATTATAATAGTAAATATATATTTATTGTTAGCTAGAATTTGACGCTTGATGACCTCATTTCAATGCATTATAGATATAAGGTATAAAAGAAGATAATCCATAAAATATCTTTAGAAAACAAGAATAACAAGCTCAGATGAGCGTTGTTCGATAAGGCGGATACACAATCATCAATCCTTAGAACTAAAGAAAATGACAAGCGGATAATAATTTCAAGTAGTAAACTGACATAGCATCAAAATTCGTAGGTTCATGTATTCTGATAAATCTAGAATAATTTCTATGATTTTAAGACTAGTGATGATTTTTTTTTTAATAATAATTCAAAATATCCATAGTTTTCTCTCTCAAAAAAGAAAATGAAGTAGTAAAATTTTCTAAACTAGTTACGTCGTTGGTAACAGTGTAACTATTTTACATAAACTTTATATTATTATTATATAGTTAAGTAATTATATTTCCTTGCTTTCAAAAATAAATAACCTATGCTTTAATTTTCTTGAATTGGAACCCCTATTTTTATTTTGATAATATGGTAGAGAAAAATTTATAATAACATTGTTCTCTTAATTTTGTTCGATCAACTGTTCCAATCTGTTTCAGTATGTTTAAGTTAAATTATTTATAACTAATTTCATATTGTTCTCCCATTGTTTATCCTTTTACAGAAATCATATCTTTAATAGCTTATTACTATTAAAAGTGTATTATTAAATTTATTATTGTACATTGTACGTCATATGACTATTTGGAAAATTTTTATTGATAACTATCATAATTCATGGGCTATTGAAACAAATTACTGCTCTCTCCAGTCTTATGAACACAAAATTAATAAGAAATTTTACTTTATATCCCAAACTTTAAACTATCTCAAAACAATAATTATATTGATTGAATAAAAAAATTATATAAACAAAATTGTTTATAATTTTTTTTATCGTAATATCAAACTAAAAATTAAAGTTTTTACTATAAAAAGTTAAGGGTTCATATCCCCAATGTTATGAAAAAATTATATATTTAACTGTACAATATTGCAAAGTTTACTTAACAAATATTTTTTTTCTATAAAAAAATAAAAATTTTCATTAGTTACCGAAAAAATAAGTGTCTTACTATTAATGAATCACTTTGTATAGTAAATACAGATTTTTTTGTTTAAATTTTTCCAGATTAACCCTCGTAAATATGCCTATAAGTAAGATGTTTTTTCACATTACAGTTAATTAAACTATATTTTAGTAAACATGAAAATGAAATATTTTATTTTAATTTGTAAGTTTTAAAAATAATGATGTAATATAAAGTGTTTCATAATATATACTGTACTATTAAAATAATGTCACCAATTTTCTTAGTTATAAATAATATTTCGCTTATTAATGTTTGGAAATACTTGATGCGTTAGTTATACAAAAGTTTCACATTAGTCGTTGCTCAGCATAAAACTTGTGTTGTAATATGAAGATTTTGATTAATTTTAACAGTGCGTCGCTAAATTGTTATTTGAGTTTAGACAAAAGTTTAATATACAGAGACCCCTATTAGATAACTGTCATTGCATTTCTAGTACATTATCATTTTAGAGTTTTGGTAAATTTTCTGAGAAAAAATTATATTATATGATAATTGCATCAAAGCTTCTCAATGGAGGT